CAAATCGAATAATATAATATGAGAAAATCAAATAATATAATATAGGCAAATCAAATAATATTCCAAATAATATTAGAAGCAATAATTACCTTAAATTGTTAGAGGTAAGTTATTAAATGTATTAGAATTTTAATGATTTTCTTTTCCTTTCCTTTTACTTTTCCTTTATAATTATAAGATTCAACGGTTTGAGACAATGACTGCACTCTCTGACGATTTGGTAACGACTGCCGCGTCTGCGTCCAAGCCGTACCTCTAGTGTAGGACCCGATGCAAAGGGGAGGGGCAAACAAAGCACTCCTCGACTGAGCATTTTATTTCGTGTTACGGTTATTCACGCGAAAATAGGAAAAGATAAATGGAAAAGAAAGAAAGAAAAACCTAAGCTAGAAAGATAAAGCTAAGACCTAATATTTTTCGGAGATATCGTTAATGCTTAATAATAAATCTTATTGCAAAATGAAAATTCATTTAACGTTTTCGTCAGTTAAATTTTCGTTGCGCAACGAAAGACTCTCCGAGCTAGCTCTTCGTTGAAATGTTTATATTAGGAATATTTTGAGTGCGATAAGCCTGCCCTTTAGTATAATCTAAGATCGTCGAACGCTCCTTTGTCTCTTCTACAGTTGCAGCATCGAAAACCGAAGAAGAGGCGATTCGAGAAAAAGAAAATTATGTTATAAAATTATATTTCCCAACAGAAAATAATAATAATAGTAATAAAATAAAATTATATCTTTTAACGCAAGACGAAAGAAAATGAGTTCTCGCTTTATTAATTATTAATTTAATTATCTTAATAATAAAAGTTATAAAAAAAGAATATATATATATGTATACATAAAATGATAAAACTGTAAAATGATAAAAGTTATGTCTTAATATTTAAAATCGCGCATATGTTAACCTAAGGTACCGCTCGACTATTTTACTATTAAAGTTTCTGATATGATATTCATATGCTTCAGACTGTTTTTTGTGCTATTTAATATAGATTTCTTCTCAGATTTTCTTTAATTATAGTTTAGATTAGTTTATATATATACTTGTGAGATACACATTAAAGTTTGTCATACTCATGAATTAGCTGATATATTATTTCCGTCCAATTTATCTTAGTTATTAAGAAGCTCGATTCGTTTGATCTTATTTAATGTTTTTTGCCTTATGTCTCAATGTTAGTTTTTTTATTTATTTATCTAGTCAGTTAGTTGTTTATCGATCCTTTATGAGTTATTCATTGTTTATATATATATATATATATATGGGTTGGCTCTAAGAAGTTTAGGAGATTGTAGTTATTACTATTTATTGTTAATATTTATTGTTAATATTTCTTTTTATTTATCTATTTAATGAATTACTTATCTTGTTGTTCTTTTATTAAATTTTCTCAACTCATTGCAGTGTTGTTGATTTATTGATCGCTCTTAGCTTTATGAATTATTTGTTACAAGCCTTTTTAATTGTTATTTATTTAGTTTTTTCTTCGTTGTTTTCTAATGTTATTTAATTTTTAGGTTAATCGTAATCTTTTAGTCTGCTCTTGTTAATTTTCTTTTTATCTCTATTATCTAGCTCTATTATCTATTATATTAGCTGATTCAGGTCTCTCGTACTTTGAACGTGCTGGAGGAGTATCTGTTGTCTGTTACTCGGTCCGTAGCCGTAGCCGTATTTGAACTGTGGCTGCCTCTTCTGTCTGCTGAAAGATGATGTTTTTGGTGATGTTTTTGCCACCAGGCAGGCTGTATTACAGTAGAACAGTCTAGAGGATGGTAGGTGTTTGTTAGTATGGATAGGTAATGAGGAGCTGAGATATCCGGAGTCGGCGAATAGCCGTGCATCGAGGGATGTGATTCCCGTCACCACGTCGAGCCGGCTCAGTTTCCTTTCCATTTCAATTTAGGATTAAGATGAGTCTGAAGCCTGTTAGTATGAAAAACTTTCTAATTTATTTATTTGTTGAATGCCAGTATAACATTATAATAGTTGTTAAAATATCTAGTTAAAAATTTTTTATCGATACCTTACTTGATTTTTCTTTTTATTCCTGATTATTTAGGACTATTCTTCTTGATTTCTTCTTTTCGTTGGACTGTTTTTCATCGTTGACGACTGCGTTGGAACTTCCCATTCCGACGCAACAATGGCTGGACAGGAGAGGATTACTTCTGCAAAAAAATCAATTATAAAATATAAATATGAGTAGAAAAATGGAAAGATCACCCCCTGCTGCTTCTCGGATGGCGGGGCGGCCTCGTGGAGAGAACCCGCTCTCTGTGCGATCGTCATCGGGCAACGGGACCCCTCTCGATGTGGAAAGTCGAGAGGATCGTGGCACTGGGAGTTGAGTCCCTGCTCCCAGCAGGCCTTAACTGGCGTAGGGCAGATAGGTGACCGGGTGGCCGGTCCGGTAGGTAATGAAACAATCGGTGGTGGTGTTCCTTCTTCCGCAGGAATCTCCCGCGTGTTAGAGGATGTCTCTCGGAGATTCCCTGATTCTCTTATAGCAAAGGTTCGTGACGATGATGTCAGTGCTAGTAGACTCTATTCATCAAGCAGAGAGAGTGATAAGATGGAAATCGCTGGCTGTAGTAGGGACCTGGAAGAGCAAGTGATAGACTCGATTAGTCTAATCGATTCAGATTAAGATGCCAGCTTTGTCTCGTACACGAATACGGGCAACGAGACATCCTTTCTGAAGTCAAGTCTAAGAAGAGGAGGTTAGGATCTTCTCCTAAGAATAAGGAGAGAGAGCGTTTAACGGTAGGGCAGAAAATGGAAATAGAGGACAGATATAATATGATAAAATATCTCAATTCCGAAGATGTAGGTGCTCAAGTCATCGAATGGCTGAATGAGATGGAGAACTGCAGAAGGAAATCCGGCTCTTTGCAAGGTCAGCAAGGCCATCAAAATTAATTTATTATCGGCGAAATGTGCTGTGGAAAATCTTATCTCCAGGAAAGCTGCAAAAAGAAAGGAAGACCTTCAAAATAGATATCTCGAGGAAATTAAACGGGAACTTAATGATTTGAAGGAAGAGAACAGATCATTGAGACAGTCTATCAAGAATCTTATGGAGGAGCTGAATCAAAGGAAATTTTCCTCGAACGGAAATCGTTCTGAACGTCCTGTGCCTCCCAATGGTGACAGGCCTCGGTCGGACGGAGCTGATGGAGTAGTGCGCAATGAAGATGTCGATAAGCGCTTCGGTCGGATTTCCCGCAATGCACTGGAAATTTTTAAAAATATCAGGATATAAATAAGAAGAGAAATACAGATAAGGTAGAATCATCTAGGAGAAGGAAATGAGAAGCGGTGAATGAGCTTTTGATTCGTTTTACCGACACAATGAGGTCCCTATTGGCAGATGACCTTGGTATGTCGAGAGGAGAGGGAATTTACTTCTATTGAAGAGGCTTGACAGAAAAGGATAACCAGACCTTTGAGACCTTTGAGACCTTTGAGATCGCGGCGAGTGCTATCCCTCGCAGACAACACCTGCTTCGTCCTCCGAAGCTGGGGGAAGAAAGATGGAAAGCTGGACAGAAGTGGTCAAGAGAAATAAATGCAGAAGAACCGATGGTGATGCTGCTGGTAGGAGTGATCGCGCTGCTGAGAATAGAAATAGGAACATTGAATCTCAGCGTATCCCGCGCCAAAGGATTTCAGACAGAAGGCCTAGAGTACCCTCTCCTAATGTAGCAGCTATCTCGATAGTGGTGGAGGATGGCGGGCCATCTTACGCGTCCGTTCTCAGCAGGGCCAGAGAGGGAATTTCCACACAAGAATTAGATGTAATGGATACCAGGATTAAGCGGGCACTCTCTGGTAGAGTCCTGCTCGAGCTGCGAGAGGCGGATTCTTCTAATAAAGCGGATCTGCTAGTTGAGAAAATGAGGAACATTATTGGCGACTCGAAGGTTAAAATCAATAGACCAGTTAGATACGCTGACATTAGACTCATCGGCTTTGACGATTGAGTGACAACTGAGGAGATCCGTCGACAAATTTCCTCTCTTGGTGACTGTTCCTCGGAGAGTCAGAGTTGGACCAATTAGGATCGCGAGAAATGGATTCGGCATAGTCTGGCTGCAATGCCCGCTGCATACTGCTCTGAAACTATCCAACCTCGACAACATAAACCTCGGATGGGTTAAATCCGTCAGGATGGACTTACTCCCTGTCAGACCTGTGAGATGTTTCAAGTGTTTCGCGAGGGGTCATACTCCGCATCGTGCCCCAGTGAAGTTGACAGGTCTGGATCCTGTTTTATATGCGGAGATCCTTTACATAAGCTTAATACTTACAGAAATCATACGTGTTGTCCCGTTTGCAGGAAGAGAGGTCTTCCATATGACCACAGAGCGGGTAGCGAGTTCTGCACGCCGTGCTTCCTGTAACAATACTGTAACAATCTGAGAGACAGATCACTAGAATAACTCTTCCTCACCCATGAGAGGATCTGAGAATCGGAGCGCTGGTTCTCAGGGCAATACGTTGGTTGCTATGGACACGACGGAAATCAACCCTGTGGAACAATCATGAAGATTTTACAAATAAATTTAAACAAGTGTTCGGTTATACAGGATTTAATTATGAACACAATTAATGAGCAGAAGATCGATGTACCGATCATCTCGGAGCCAAACTCTATTCGCCGTCACGATGATCGCTGGTATATCTCTCAAGATAGCCCTTCCCTAGCGGTTTTATATGTTAACAATAGATTTTTATTTAACTGGCAACTGCTCGCCTCTGCTCCGAATGTCGTGGCGATAAAAACTGTCAATTTTGTAATTATTAGCGTATATTTTTCTCCTAATCGCTTATCTAGAGAATTCGAACAATTTTTGGATACTCTCCTTGACATCGTGGTTTCTGCCGGTGGCGCTCGAGTGCTATTGGCTGATGCCGGAGACTTTAATGCCCGTTCTCATGTGTGGGACGTGCGATAACAATCGTGGAAAATTGCTTTTTGAGTGGGCGTGTGGACTTTGTGTGGCTTAAATTTAGTGAACAGTCCCGGAATTAGCACATGCTATAGGATACAGGGAGAGTCCACGGTAAATCTGGTGGTGCTCCGGTAACCTTTTGGAATCGATTTCAAGATGGAGCGTATTGAACGAATACAACGCGTCTGACCATAGAACTATTATCATGGAGATTTCTAGTGGGAAAAATAAAAATAACACCCCTAGATCACGCGACTCTTTCCACGGTGGAGCACCAAAAAGATGGACAGGGATAGATTTCTTGCGGTTTTGCACGCGGGCTTCTGGATGTTGTATGGGGTGGAGACGATGAATTTGAATGAGCTTATCTAATAGGATAGAAAAAATTATTAAAGACGCGTGTAATATGGCGATGCCTGTAGGGTTACCAACCATTCCGTGAAGACAGTGTCTATTGGTGGAGCGAGGAGATCGCCATAGGTCGGGACAGAATGCAGAATGGCTAGAAGCGATACACGAGGGCGCGAGCGCGCAAGAGCTGTACGGTATGGAGACGGCTGTGGATGGACTTTAAGGAGGTTAAGAAGGAGTTCAGGGCGAATATCGGGAGGACCAAGGATAACGCATGACAGGAGTTGATCGACTCCATCGAGGAGGATCCTTGGGGACGCCCATACAAGCTGGTCACGAGGAAGACTGACGACACCGGTATGCGAATCCTTGGAACCGGCCTTTATAGCAAGGGTGATATCACACCTGTTTCCGGAGGGCGACGGGGGTGAGGCGTCTTGGAGTTTTGGTCCCCGCTTTCCACTTGGGGACGTTCCAGAAGTAACCGTCGCCGAGTTAGATGTGGCCGCCGGCAGACTTAAGAACAATGGGAAATCGCCGGGTCCCGACGGCTTTACATACAGGATCCTCATTCCAGCCGTGAAAGTTGCGAAGGAAGTGTTTGCCGTGCTCTTTACTAGATGTATGCGTGAGTCCTATTTCCTGGACGACTGGAAAGTCTCTAGATTGGTACTGCTAAGAAAATCGAACAGACCTACGGATTCCTTGTCGTCCTTTCGTCCAATTTGTCTGCTGAACACGATTGGCAAACTGTTTGAGGAGATCATCGCCAACAGAGTGTATGAATTTTTAGAGGAGAACCAACTATTATCTAATCAGCAGTATGGATTTAGACGCGGCCGATCCACTATCGACGCAGTCAAAAAGGTGGTAGATATAATATCTAATGCTAACACGGGAAGATGTTTTACGGTGTGGCCAGCCTGGATATTAAGAACGCATTCAACTCTATCAAATGACAGGAGATAGTCTCGGCGATCGACCCCAGGGGGATTCCCGGTTACTTGTGCCTCATAATTATATAACTTATCTGAGCAATCGCTACGTTAATTTTGCGGACAGGAACAATCTGCTTAGGAGCTTTCGGAGTGACCGGAGGAGTACCGCAGGGATCGGTACTCGGTCCCCTTCTGTAGATCCTGACATACGATCAAATTCTTGAGAAGGATGATCCCGGGGAATGCTTCAAGTCTTGTTATGCGGATGACACGCTTTTGGTTACAGTCGCCAGAGACGTCAATGTTGCGGCTCGAAAAATTGAAACAGCCACCGCCCGTACTATCGACAGAATAGAGAATCTCGGTTTGAAAGTGTCGATAGATAAGACTGAGATCGCGGTTTTCGGCAGGAAAGGTCTCTCTTTGCCTGCCCACCTTCCGCAAATTAAGATTCGTGAACTCGCCATAAGTCTTAGTAATAAAATTAAGTACTTGGGTATAATTATGGATACACATTTAGGGAGCACCTTCGTTACATCGTCCCGCGCGCGAGGCATATGCTGAGCGTCCTGAGCAGACTCATGCCCAACCTTAGGGGACCTGGGCAAAGGAAGAGACGACTGTACGCCTCTGTTATACGGTCCATCCTATATTACGGGGCACCCATATGAGCCGATCGACTCGATTATAAATCGGTTGCAGTTGGAGACGCAAACAATTTGTTGAGATCATTGGCGATTAGGGTAATCTGTGGCTATAGATCCATCTCTTACACTGGCGCTACTGCTTTGGCTGGGATTTTTCCCTTCAAAATTAGGGCGGAGAGACTTGCGAGTCTTTATTGGAGGGAAAGAGAGAATAGGATCGGTGTTTTAATGAATTCTTGACTCGCATGGATCGGGCTCCCTCGCCTCTCTGGGCGCATTGCACGAGCGGAGATATTGACGATGCGGATCATACTCTGCTGGATTGCCGAGCATGGTTCTGGAAACGGTACGAATTGTATGATGCGTTGGAATTCGAACTGGGAGATATGGATCCCCTCGATCTGGGAAAAATCTTAAGGACGGTGCTCGGTGGCCAGCGGGAGTGGACTGCGCTAAAGAGATTCGCGGAGGAGATCATGTCCGCTAAGGAGCGGGCGGAGAGAGATCGCCAGGGCATTGGATAGTCCTCACGTGTATGTATGCGTCTGGAAATGTCCCTTTGTTAAATCTTTTTGTTCGTTATCTTGGTTCTCGTTAATTCATGAGTGTTTTTCTAATAACATTATGTCCTACCTGCTGGTGTGTTCGTACGTTATCTTTCCTTTGAACACACTTTTCTGGTATGTTCCAAATGTCTCCCTCGTCATAGCGTGTTTTCATGTAATTTTAATAATTTTTATCTCCATCGAGTCATCTCTTATAGAGGTATGTTCTTTGTTCTTCTTCCATGTCCTTTGTTACAGGTGTGTTCGTATATAATTTTATTTAATCGTATGTTTCTCTTCTTAGCGTTTAAACCTCTTAATTAGTTGTGTGTGTGTGTGTGTGTGTGTGTGTGTGTGTGTGTGTGTATGTGTGAGCATATATTCGCAGGTACTTGAAGTTGACGAGTGAGTACGTTGCCCATTGGGCCAAGACCGGGGGAGGGTTCGTGATGTGTTGTTTCGTCAACGTTCCAGGACCCTCCCTAATATGGTCGTTAAGACTATAGAGGAGGTTTAGTGGATAGGCGAGGCTGGGTGGCATTTCATCCGACGTGCCGCCCACTCGAATCCCACACTCCCCAACTGTCGTCCGTTGGGGGTGCGAAGATTTCTCCTCTCTAAACAAAAAAAAAAGATGCCGCTCGACTGCATTTACATCATTTCGGATAAACGTCCGCAAGTTTTAATTTTCTGCGGACGTTACAAAACTTCACGTCATTTCTCGCCTCGACGTCATAATTCAATATGGCTGCAGCGAAAAAGTCGAGTCTTATAGCATTTTCGATTTACTGACTCGACACGACCGAGTGAAGTCTCAAATTGAACTTATGATCTCACTTAACTCGACTCGGTCGAGTTAAGTGAGATCATAAGTTCAATTTGAGACTTCATATCTGTAAACATTATGACGGAAGATCTTGTATCTTTATATTTTCCAACCTTTATCAAAAATTGATTTTTACACTCTTTCAAGTTCTATTAAGTAAATAATGAGAATAAACAAGGTCTATAACAATGAATAGATTAAGTAAGAAATTAATATTTATTTATTGTAGTGATATAATTATCGTCAGATGTCAAAAAACACAGATATAAAATGTTAATATGTCGTGTGATACATAAATTAATCGTAATTGTAAAAGCATATTTTAAATAATGATCCTTACAGAAACAGCAAGACAAATATAAAGATAGTTCGAGATGAAAAATGGAAAAATAATCAGAACGGCCGAAGGAATTTTATGCAAATATTTGTATAACGATGGTAAATATTTTATTAAAAATATGAAATTAATGTTTAATAAAATATTTAAATAAAAATATAAACAAACATATAAACATATTTAAAATATAAATATAAACGTATAACATATAAACATATATAAACATATATATAACATATTAAATATAAATATTAACAAGGCTTAGGACGCAGCAAAGCGACAACGCGGCAACATGGTAGTCAATCACCGTCTTGTTTTCTGATATATAACTTCGTTACATATTAGAAAACAAGACGGTGATTGGCTACCGCGTTGCCGCTTTGCCGCGTCCTGTATGCAGCCGGGGCAGCTTAGGCCTGTTTTACAGTGCGTCGTGTATCGGTGTCGTGGGTCGTAAGAATGGGCTAATCGTAATCAAATAGTCTTCCCATATTCGACTGTGATTGGTAAATTCTTGTGACTTGCGACACTGACATGTGACGTATTGTAGAACAAGCCTTAGGCTGGGTTAGACAATTCGGTTACGACAATTTCCCGAAAAATGGAGGGGATAATGTTGGTATCAACAAAATCCTCTAAATAAAATAATTTTAGTTTCTATGGATTAGCACTGTTCAAGTAGTAATCTGTTGGATTGTACATCCTTTTTGACATATGCGCGGGCATGTACATACGTAATAAATATTATATATCAGAATGTAAATATAAAATACATTATAGCATTTTATTGAAATAATATACTAATAATATACTATTATTTAAATAATATACTATTATTATATAATATTAATGTATGTAATATTTATCATTTGTATGTAATATTTTATTTTCATATATCATTTGTATATATGTAATATTTATCATGTTTGTCACCTTATTCACTTTATATTCTCACTTATTATGTTTTCACTTATTGTCTTTATTTAATTTTATTTTAATAAAATGCTAATAATGTATTTTATATTATTTTAATTCAAGTGTTATTTCTATGATTTGTGTTGTAGAATTATAAACGTTTGGGATCCATTTCTTTCTTCTTGTTAGGAATCCGTTCGTCTCTAGAATATCGAGCAATCTAACTGATGCGTCATGCAAGGAATCGCGCGGCAAATGATGCAATAAAATGGAGTGTTTTGATTGGTCAATTTGTGACGCGACGGATGACTGGGAATTCAGTCTTAGGCTGACTTTTCATGCTGACGCTCGATGGGAGCGTCCCGTTTGACCACGATTGCGATTGATCACAGCCACTCACGGCCGGTGCCTAGAGGTTTTCCTCTGTTCAAACGTTATGAGTGGTTAGTGGTCAATTGCAACGTGGTAAAACGGGCCCACCTCGCTCGACGCTCATTTTTAGCGTCAAACTAGATTACAATCAAAATTAAACAGAATAGTGAAATCTGAATGGTTATTTTTGATCGCGTGATTTAGTTTGACGCTAAAAATGAGCGTCGAGCGTAAAAAGCATAAAAAGTCAGCCTTAGGCTGACGTCCCATGGCGCGAAATCTACAGCGGAACGGAATTAATATGACCAATCACAATCATTTCGCTTTGTTTCTTGTACACTTGTGGACAATAAGGTTGCAACACTTTTTTTTAAATAAGTTTAGGAACGCGAGATTAAGTTCAGGATGCGGATCACTGTTTTCGCTCATGTGCAATGAACGATTATAATTTTACTAAATTGCATATACACTATGTAACATGAATTTAATGACAAATTTCCACGAGAAATTTATAATAAATAAGATTTGTCTCAAATTCATCAAATATAAGATCAGTAGATCACATTACAATAAATTTTTTTACCTGTCTTTGATTTAATTCAATATATGACTAAAGATTAATTGTAGAATCATATTAGATCTGATAAAAGTTGCGAGAGAAATAACATTTAATTATATAATAAAATTAATAGATATAGTAATTATATAACACGATTACGTAAAGAAGAAATGAACTTAATCTCGCGATCCTAAACTTATTAGAAAAAAAAAGTATTGCAACCTCATTATCCACGAGTATACATATTCTATTTCTTTTATGTTCCATGGAGCGGAATACATAGAAACGGACCACGCGGAATAATATAAAATTAGACTTTTTATATGATTTATAATAGTTTTAATAATTGGAATAATATTTTAATGTAAATACAATAATATATACAATGAATCGATGAACAATAGAATTCGTTTATCAGTAAAATATTTTTAACGTAATTGTAAAACTATTTTGCAATTAAAACTTGGTTGAAACTTGATTCCGTTGCCGTCTTTTCTGCTCAATGGGACATTAGGATAAATGCATTCGCGGAATTGCAATGATAGACCGCATGTACCTACAATACATATAATCGTAAAAATATTTGTATTTTCGCGATAGAAAGTAGAATTTATTATATTTAATTATGGAAGTAGAGAATATTTTACATACAGTATTTATCAATTGTGGATTTTATATAGGAATAGTCCATATTCTGCATTTCAAAAACAGATTATTTGGAATTAAATGCATTATATTTATTATATATAATACTAAAAAAGAAAAATAAAATGAGACTTAAATGTCAATATTGGATACAACTTATTTTTTTGTGAAGAAAGAAGAATAATGCAGAGAGGAAGCGATAATCTGGTTCGTAAAATGGAGTATGTAAATAAGGACAAATATTTTAATTATTTTCGAATACTTTTCTCGGAAAAGCTGTACGCTCATTGGATATCGCGCATCGCATGCGCGTCATCGCAATGCCCGTATCTATCCTTGTTTAACATTTGATGAACAATAAGAATAAACCGATTTCGAAAGTATTAAGAATGTCGAGCGTTATGTCAGTTGATAGATTTCTTAAAATGTCAATTTTAATGCTCATTGAATGCTGAGCGTACTTTTTTCAGATTTTTTGTTTTAGGCTAAAAGAAATCGCATGAGATAAATTCATTTAATTTAAAAGGTAGCGGATCTAAACTAAACATTTATTTGCACCTTAATAGAGGAATGAAAGTGGGTATTAAAAACAGAAATAAATATTAAATTTGATGAATAAATGGAAATAAAAATTAGGAATAAAGATTAAACATATTTCTGTTCCTATTCTTGTTCCTCCTACTATGCGCTAATTTGCCTGACAATCACGAAAATTATCCCACGTCTTTAATAATACTTTGTCAGTGATTTAGTTCAAATCTATCAAATTAATTAATTAATTAATCTACAGTCTGATTCGGGCTTTAAAATACGGCTAATACAATCTAATTGATTTATGAGATCTCATGAGATGTATGTAGTTTAAGATAATTTTAAATAAAATCCTATGAATACTAATCTTTGTGAATTATTTTTGAATTAATTAATAAATAAATTGTATAAGTTGTATACATACAATTGTATAATTATATAAGTTGAATACATTGCATAAATTGTATAAAATTGAATAAATTGTATAAATCGAATAAATCACAAGAAAAATCTGAACAAGAAATCGAGTTTATTTATTTATTTGAAAATCCCGCTTGTGGCAGGCAATGTTCGCGAAACAAACAAAAGATGGCACGATCTATCGTTAATCGGGATCAAAATGGCGAGTAATAATCACTTGGTTAACAGTGTGGGATAACATTACATACGAGCATGGATGTCGATGCTTGTCGTTGCAACCTCGTCTCTCTAAACATTAAATGATCTCGCGCGGATAAAAGCGCCAAATTGCCGTCGTATTTATGACGTGCGCTAAGCAGTGCTCGTAATGCGCACTTTTCATTATGATTGTATACGCTCGGATCATGTGAGCACGATTCACCATCCGGTGGTGCTGCTGCCGCCACCGCCACCGCCGCCACTTCCACCGTTGCTGGTGCCGCCCGTATATCGCGTGTACGTTCATCGTGCAAAAACTTTCGTTCGTGTATTTATATTGTATTATTTATCGAAACATCCGCATTCGATAACCCGGCGAGCATTATATTGTCTCGCAAGAATTCTGCCGTATGGTCGCGCATTCTCAAGAGAGTAGCGTCCTTGTCATCACAGTCGTGCAGTCGAGTATGCGACGGTCGTTTCCCGCCGTCCCGTCATCGCCGTCGCTGTTACTATCATCGATTGTGCAGTGTTCGCGTCAATTGTTATCATCGATCATAGCTGAATGTCACGATTCGCCGAGAGACGCTTCATCAACGAATAATCTTGGATCTTACAGATATCCACAATTATCCATCGTCATTTATTCGAACGTTCAATCTTGTGATACTTCAGAAACACGCGATCAATCGTTACAACACATATTTTTTCATTGTGTTTTGTTTCAGATGTTACATAAAACGTAAGTCAGCAATGAGTTTTTTCTTCTATTTATTATTTAAGAGTACATTTTTTTATCAATATAAAACTGTAACAGTTTTATCCTTATTGCAATTGTGAAAATTTGATTACTCTCTAGTCTTTTCATGCTAATTGACAGAATTAATAAAAATGAAAAGGGACTGTCATAGCAGTCATAATATTATCAGTGTAATATTTCTTTTTTTTAATTTTTTTCTTGATTAATCTTTAAATGATCTTATTGTTCACACTATATTAAATATCTTAAAGTAGCAACATTTGTAAAATTTTTAATTGATTAAAATATGAAAAATATAATATAATTTGAAAAAAATTATAATCTTGCTTTTGATAAACATTATTTATCTATTTATTAGAAACAATAGTAAACATACAATTTTATTTTTTTTCAGAGAAAATAGGAAGCTTTTGCCATGCTGCTAATGATGTTAGAGTGAATTTTTTGTCTCTACATTTACTTGAAATATTTTAATAAAAGTTACTATAAAAAGTGGAAACAATCCTAAAGAAATTGTAATAAAAAATGTTATGAGAGAAATTATCTTTGAATGTATTCTGACATTATCAACCAGAAGAATTTGCTAAATATTTACCAAGCAAGGCACTACAGTGCTAAGCTTGGGTAATGGATCCTGTTGGTCCGTGGTATACGTCATATAATCGCCTTACTGCGGGCAGTTCTACAGGAACATTTCAAACAACACCAACTACAACTAGTGATTTTGTATCTCATCATTTAGCAACAGCCGTCACACAAACGATACCATCAGCAACAACATCTCAATTACTTCTGCAAGCGGCTCATACAACAGCAACTCTGGCAGGTCAACCATCTCCTTTTAACCCAGGGGGGTTTTTATCTCCACCCCCTGTAGGTTATGAAGTTTTTTCACCTTTGTTTCATCATCCTAACACTAAGCAGGCACATTATGTTACTCAGCATAGGCAAGTTCTTGCTCAAGCACAAACAATATCAGTGACAAAACAAAACACGACTGAATCTGATATCTTAAGGGAGAATTATAGCTCGGCTCATCAAACTATGTTTTTTGAACAGCAAGGAACATCAACATCACCTACATCAACATTGGCCTGGACACCTCAGAACAATACACAACTTCCTAGCCCGTTTGGTATCTTACCACATGAAAGTGGTGTTTCTTCATCCCCTGGTCCGTCTTCTACAAAATCTAGTACTAGTTATGAAAATACATTCAATGCTCATTTCAGTACAACACAAAGTATAAATAACATTAATGCATCTCACATAACTAGTCCATCTGCATGTAATGCAGATTTTAAAACATCTACTTGTTCATCTGACACAAAAAAATCAGTTAATGTGAGACCTCAATCGCCTATTATTAGTGTAAAATCCACTATTTCTACATCACAAGTCAGCAACAGTCAAACGTTCTTTCATCATGTTCCAACATTTAGTCCTGACACTTTGACTGATAGTTATCCTGGTACTGGAAATCAATCTGCTACCGAAAATGAAAAAGTGCAATCGTTACAACATCAACAATCGTGTATTGTATCGACACCAAGCAATTCCTCTGGCAAAGAATACAGAATATCGCAACCATCCTTAAGATCAACTACATCAACAACAATTTTTCTCAGTGCTCCTGTGCGGTCAGGTTCCACACAAGTAATTCAGGATAAGCAGGGAACGCGCAACGGCAATTTTACGTCACCTAATAAAGCAGCGGCCACAACTCAACAGATTCAAACCAAAGCGCAGACCAAAATCTATTCAGATTTGGGAGGCACAATTGAACATAGGCGAAACGAGCAACAGGGACATGATAACCAATCATCTCCAATTAGCTTCTCTATTATGGAAAGTCGCAACTTAAATTATGCTACAAATAATACTACTAATTGCAACAACACTAATGGTAAACTCACAAGCAATCAGAGGACATCATCTAACAGCAATCTACAATCGCATTCTCAGCAGCAGCAGCAACAAACATTTCATGTTTTGAATCAACAACAGCAACAACAGAGCGCATCTTATAGACATTATTTGACGGGATCGACGAGTGATACAGAATATCATCACCCAGGCAGATCCAAATCCGCGACATCGACGGATTCTGCTTACTCGTCCAATACTTCAACGCAAAATGGACCTGACTGCAGTGTTGTTGTTCCACGTCGACCGAGTCCTTTACAGACTCATTCGCAGGCTAGTCCTCTGGGTCATGTACCAAGTCCAGCGTATCCTATGTACAATAGCCCGATGGCAACCATATCATCACCATCACCATTGCAACAACACGAAAACAATGGCAATCAGTGTACTAATAATGCATCGTATAAAAGTGGAGTCACTCAACAAGTCACCCCATCATCACCTTTGGATGTCACTGTTCCTAGACCAGCATCACAGGGACAGGTAGCCTATTCGTCAGTAATCACACGAGCACTAGGCACTACAGAAAATAACAAGGCAGCTTACAATGTGGAGAATAAAACGTATGACAGGCAGCAACAAGACTTTTCGCAAACACAAAAACAAATTTGTTGGGAAAATGATAATCGACAAACGACGAACGGCAATAGAAAGTTTTCAGTCTATACTGGTGCAAACACAGCAGCTAGCGATATAAATACACAAAATTTGCCGGTTCAACAAGTACAAAGACTAATAAATGTATCTGATAGACAGCAACCATATTTTGAGGCTAATCAAGTAGCGCTTCAAGATTTGAGCAGCTGTAGGGGAGATCCAATGAGTATTGTAAAGAACTTACAAACGTTGCAACAAAGTCCTTGCTTGCAACAACATACCACTATTGCTACCTCAGTTGGTGCAGCGGAACAACAAAAACAAGTTGAAGAACGGCGAAAAGTCGATAGTGCCAATAAAAAGAGGAAAAGTTTGGAAAAGAATGGACATAGTACTCCATTATCTAACGAGCTTGCGAGCGGCGCGACAATGACAGAATATCTTAGCAGGATTCCTCCGCCTGCACATCACAATGCAGCGAATCAGCAACAGCAAAACGGTTATTTCGAATTCGAACGATGGAATTTACCGCCACCAAGTGCCAAAATGTTTCCTACCGCCTCCAGCGCCTTTGGTGCTCAGTCGTCATTGCATCATTCAAGTAATTTTGTAGGTTCTTCAGCTCATCAACATCAATCGCTAATGGTATCGCATCATCATGCACCACCACCTATCCCATATTTTCCGGCTTTTCATATTCCTGCAGGTCACCATTCGCATCATTCTCACGAGTTTCAATCTTCGGTTGAGATAACGCCAGTAGGATTCGGTGAAAATACAAACCAAAATGTCAATTACAATCAAGAGATCAGAGATGATCAGCCTAAAGTAATCGTTCCTAACATTGAAGAAGAACTAGGTTTCCTTCAACAAGATCAGCAATTGATGCAAAGTATGAATCAAATGAATAAAGATTTTAAACGACCCAACAGGGATCCTAATACAGGATTTATGACGAGCTATTTAAAGTTTTTACAAGGTGAAAGGGACCCTTCTCCACCATCCGCTATACGAGGTGGTAGGAAAATAACGTGGAGTAGATCAAAACCATATATACCTGTTGAGACGAGCAAACCCATAGAAGCTTCAATTAATGGTGAAAGTGTTAAATTTCAAGAAAAATCTATGTCGATGAAAGAGATACCGATTAAAGAGACACCAACAATAGATTATGCTAATGATCCTAGGTATTTTCCGCTGCCAAAAGAAAGGAAAAAAGTAAATTTTGATTCGAGCGATGACGGATTTACTAGCGACGATGATTTTCTATTTCCTCCTAAGAAAACAGAAAAAAAACACAAAATATAAATAATACAAATAATATTGAAACTGTTACTGTAAAACCAGAAGGGAAAGGTAGGAAAGGTCGGCCTATTAAACCTGGTGGGCCTACAGATAGAAAGAGAAGAGCTGCAGCAGCAGCAGCAGCAGCAATTGTTAGTACAGGAGTAGAAAAAAAATCTTTGAAAAAAATGGAAGAAGGTAATACAAACATACTTAATATGTATATTTCTTTATAAATTAATATTTTATTTTTTTGAAAAACATTATTTTGCACAGTGGATCCTTTACTTCTTCCTCCCAGACGAGAGACATCAAGAAGGAAGGCAAAAGAGAAAACATCAGTAAAACAATTTTTGGATCGGCAACAGGGTATAGATTATTTCGATAATGATGAGGAACAAGCCGATTCTGATTCCGATCCAGCATGGACACCTGCTGTAAAATTGGTCGGAGATGAAGAAGATAAAAGAAAAAACGTACAAGACCTGTTATCACCAAAAAGATTAGAAAAATGTTAGAAGAAGATGGTTATTCTTCTGGAGAAGCTATTATTTCTAAAAAATCAACGAGAAAGAGACATGAGATCTCTTCAAAAAATTCTAATAGTTCTAGCAAACTTTTTTGTAGGATTGACGAAAAATTAGTAGCGGCAGCAAGTGACGAAGATATTGATATCTCGCCATTTAAGGTATCTATCATATCTTGTAACGATCTTTTTGATATTGTGTTAACTATGTCTTGTGTAAATAATAAAATTAATATTTTATTACATTTTGCATGCAGCATTCAATAAGCAACTTAGAAGATGCGGTAATTATTTAAATTAAAATTCGTTAAATAAGAAAATACTATGTATAAATTTATATATAAACGGCTTATGATAATATTTTTATTTAAAATATTACAGTATATGCAGTATATGCAAAAAGATATTAAAAATAATATCTTTTTTCACTTTACAGTCTGGCGAATTTGTTGTAATTAAAACAGATTTAGATGAAGAAGAAGATCCTCCTCTTTGGAGGATAGACGGCAAAACATTGCTTCAGAAATATCAGCCATTCAAATCCAATGGAAAAACTTTATACAGAAACATACCTACGGTAAGATTTAATTAAATTTTTTTATGATACTTTTGATTATTTTAGAAATAACCAAACTTTCACTATTTTAATTATAATATTTATTCTTTTATAGTATTCTGCATGGGTTTCACAAAATCGTCATATATATCAACAAGTGCCGGTGAAATTCTGGCAGCAAGGCAAGACAGAAACAATTGTAGAATTTTTGAGAGATGAGATGATCGTTGATGATAGGTAAATATTTGTACAAAAATATGTTTCAACACTTTACAAATTTTATAAATTCTTATTTCTATCTGATTATAGTGAGAATATTGATAAATTTATGAAAGATACTGAAAAATATCAAGATAATTTTGAAGTATACATACAGACATTAATTTCACAAGCTTTAGATTCTAATTTTCTTACTGAAATATTTCAGGAACAAGGTAAAGTAAAATTAAACTTTTTTTATTGCTATCTGCTAAATATAACATTACATTACAAGATAATAATTATATATTTCTTATATTATTGCTTAGATGATTATTTTCTATCAAATGTTAAGATTGTTGATGAAGTAACTGAAGAAAGAAAACGTCGTCTTTTGTTCACAACTAAATGGAAAGCAAGTGTTGTGACAGCAATGTCAACATGGCCATGTGTCAATGTGCTTAAAGATCTGCCGTCATCAGAATATAAAGGGAAATTATGTGCTGGTTGTCAACAGACTAAAATCTATGCCAGAGTTTTACTTTATGGACAACCTTATAATGGTACTACATTAGAAGGTTCACCACCTGATCCAAGAACACCTCACGAAAAAGTACGATATAAATGGAATGTGATATAACAAAATTTTTATTGGCCTTTATTTATTTTTATTCTCTTCTCTAGGATTTTTTATTGTGCCGTATTTGTCAAAAGAAGGTTAGTCTTTATATAATAAAGTTGCTCATCAGAAGTATCTGATGTTTTTGGAATGTGCGAGAAGAGTAGCAGATAAAAAAGTAGCAGATCCACATAAAGACACTACAATAATATTAAATGAGTTATTGGCAGATGAAGCATGGTTGAATCAAGTAAGTTAATTTTTATTATATTAAGGATTGTAATTTTATTGTATTAATTTTATTATATTAAGAAAATATTTTCATTTGGGTATATAAATTTCAAGTATTTTTTAGGAATAAATCTCTGAAAAGTAAGAAAAATTAAAGGGTTTTATATGTAATTTTTATATGTATTTATGTTTTAAAAACAGAAATAATTTTAAAATCTGCAAATCTTCATAATTAGTAGAGTTATAAATTCTTGCACATAATGTATCCAATAAATTTTCTTAGTGTTGTTAATATCTTTGCTTTTTTATTTATAAAATAAATGAATGTTTTTTTTTATTCAGTTATAAATATAGTTATAATCTGTAGCAAAATCAGTCTAATTAAAGAATATTTTACAAAAATGTCATTTTAAAATTTGATATGCGATTTTTTTACCCTTAATTTTTACATACTGTAAATGTATGTATATATATTTTTTTAAATAGAAATTTAATTTAAAAAGTAGGAATAGTGATATGTTTTCTGTGTATGTAAAATGTCATTGAAATCGATTTGGTTCTTGAAATTTTAGTGACGCCAGTTAAAAAATATAATTATGAGATATATCATTTAGATATAGTTTTTATATTGATAATAATATATTTACAAATACATCTGGCTATCTATTTCTGATCCAAAAAAGTTCTTCCACTGATCCAAAAAAAATAGCTGAATAGTCTAAGCAATTTTTATTTTCTTAGATCTCCTATTTCAGACGCCCTTTTTGGATTTGTTAATGTGGTTCTGTATTTCTAATTTCCATAAATACTTTTACCTGATTCTAATATAATTCCTATTAATCCCATCATTTTTAAAATTGTCGAAAATTCAAAAATACAAATAGCTGTATACATGGCGTTATTGATAATATTTTTTTCATAGTTTTCATATTTTTTTTATAGAAGATATTTTGGTACAAAAAATAATATTTAGACTTTTATTATTATTTCATGTATAAGTTCCAATACTGCGTTCTAATAAAAAACATTGGATATTAAATTTACGTATAAATAGACTTGAGTTTAATGTAAATATATAAGAGATGAAAATAGATATACTTACTTAGCATGTCGACTGTTATAATTCGAGGAATTTTTCGTATTCATTAAACCTCTTGAATATCTAGTATAGAGTATACATATTCCAAAAATACAAAGAAATCAATCAGTTTTTTATCTTCTAGATGAGAATTTCTTTAAATAATAATTTCTTTAAATAAAAATTTTTTAATTGTTTTATTATTATCGTAAATATTATAAATCTTAATATTATTTTAAAAATAAATATTTATGTTATTAAATAAAAATAAACTCCTTTTTTAGCTTTTTAAAGAAGTGAGGAGCATTTGGGCTGAAATTGATAGCATGGAACAGCAAACAAAGACTAACAAAACAAAAATTAAATCAAAAACAGCACTATCGTCATCAGTGAAGCAATATCATAAAGCAGAGGCAACAATAGCGAATGCTCCTATTGTACTTACATCTAAAGGAACTGCTGATATTATTTCTGATTCACAGGTGCCTATACAGAGTAGCGAAAACAATTCCCAAACAATATCTAGTAATATGCAAATGAGCAGTGAATTATCTTAGTGATATTATGACAATTATTTACATTTAATGCAAAATATATCATTTAACAGTTCAGTGATATTCTTAATCACGCAAGTGGTATGACCTTTGTTGCACTAATATAAATATTAAACGGACATTTTATTAATTATGAAGAATTTTATTTGTATAAATACACATAAATACACATAAGATTTATATATGGATATATATGAGATTGAATGAAAAATAATTGAGAGATTGTAGTTGTAATAATAGATATGACCACGTAAGTATGCATATGTGCGTGCGTGTGAAATAAATAAAAGGAAATTTTTATATATATATATATATATATATATATATACGACGGCGCGCGCGCAACACACACACACACACACACACA